AAGTGTTTCCCATGCCCTCCTTCCTTCCTTACACACTCGTTATACAATCTGGGTTCTCCTTCCTGTCTTCCCCAGACAGTTACAGGATTGTGTATATAATGATGCAGGAGGTCAATTAGGCTGGAAATGTGTATACCAGTCTAGATCATAGGTCGGCAACCTTAAATACTCAAAGAGCCATTTGGATCCGTTTCCCACAGAAAAGAAAAGATCGGGAGCCACAAAAACTACTGGGGGTCGAAAAAGCTCAATAAATTGCATGCCGGTGGGTATTGCACATTGGCGATTTTGATACAAATTTTGAGCAACAGGGAGACACAGCAGAGGGATGAAAGAGCCACATGTGGCTCCAGAGCCGCAGGTTGCTGACCCCTGCTCTAGATAAGTGTGCATGTGATGTGGGGAGGGTTTCCCGAATGATCATAACAAAGCTTGATTATGCTGTGTAGATTTGACAGTAGATTGATATGCAGGTATCTGTCTTCATTGAACAATAAAGTGATTAAAGTTCTCATTTATTTCCCATGCATTGCACACATTCATTCATCTCTTCGTTCTGACTTTTAGTATACAACCTTCCAACCTGTTATGCCCAAGGTGATTCACAACAAAATGGTACATTGAGATAGGATGAATCAGTGCATACACAGAGAGAGAGAGAGACAAAGAGCCCAAACCTATAAGCCTAGGGAGAATAAATAAAATAAGGAGGCACAACTTGCAGGGCATTCTTCAGGAGTGATGCAACAACTAAAGCTCAGCTTCATCAGCTTTATATTCAAGAATGGCAATATTTAGATAAAATCTTACTTGATCACTTCAAAATGTAGGAAATGTAATCAGAGATGTTATGTTACTTTGAATCTTATACCACTTGGAGTTTTGACAATAAAACTCGACATGAGAACCAATGAAGAAGCAAGCAATGCAGTTCTTCAAGCATGGGAGAAATATGTTCTCAGCATCATTTAATAATTGAATAATTTTTGACAAGCAATTGGTAATCCCAAAACACTTTTAGTGCAGAGGAAAAAAGATGAATAATTTCCAAAGCAATCATCTAAAAAAATGTCTGAACTACTGAAGCACCATCTAGGAATAGTCACTAGATTTCATGAATAACAAAGCAACAGGTATCCCATATGCATTTGGCAGAGAAAATGGCATTAAAGTTATGAAAGCAATATATTTTAAATTAACCCTTTCTGATGGCCGATTCCTTAAAATCACAAGGTGGCCTTGCTGCCAACATCTAAATTTTGTGGCACATCTTTCTTTAGCTGAATACCTATCCTTGTTTAATTGTATCTAATTTCAAGGTTTAATCACATGAAGTCGGTTAGGAAAAAGTGGCAGAATAATTAATTTTGGGGAGTGTCTTGTTTTAAGAATGAGGTTATATCATATGATACTCCACCTCATTCACTACCACACGCCCAATCTGTCAAAGAACATTTATGTGTAGTTTTGATTTGGTGTATTGGAGTGGAATTAATATTCAAGAATTTAAAATGTCATCAAACAGCTTCTGTAAAATGAAATCTCTACAGCTAAAGTTTCTTGATTGAACAAAAGAGTAATGTTGATTGGAAAAGAAATTAAATACAACTAACAACATTGCACAGGTAGGGTGGAGATCAGGAAATGTTAATCCAGATTTTAGAAATGTAGCTATTAGAATCTATTGCAGTAAAAACAGCCAAGACTAATTAAAGACTAACAGATCTATTATGACTTACTGAAAGAAAGGCCTGTTCCCCATAGCTGTATTAAAGTATTGTGAAATTTTCTAGTCCTTGAGTTGGCAAAAATCTGTGTTAGCTTAAATTGTTCTGCTTTGCTTGCTGAACCCTACATCATCTTGGGATGAGGCCGACAACTGCTGTTGTTCTTACAGATTTAATTCAGGACAAGATTAAAAAAAAACAATTTCTTCTTTATTACCTGAAGAAGATAGGGCTGGAGAGGAGGTGACAAGATGGTCAGACTTATCTGGTTTGCCAACTGTCAAAACCTTGAATACAGGACAGCTGATCCTCTGATGCTCTCTACCTTTTGCTCCCTATCTGGCTTAAGGTTCCCCTTGCACATAAGTGCTAGTCATTCCCGACTCTAGGGGATGGTGCTCATCTCTCTTTCAAAGCTGAAGAGCCAGCACTGTCCGAAAGCGTCTCCGTGATCATGTGGCTGGCATGAATAAAGACCGAAGGTGAATGGAACGCTGTTACCTTCCCACCAAAGGTGGACCCTTTTTTTCTACTTGCATTTTTACATGTTTTCAAACCGCTAGGTTGGCAGAAGCTGGGACAAGTAATGGGAGCTCACTCTGTTACATGGCACTAGGGATTTGAACCTCCGGCCTTTCTGATCGACAAGCTCAGAGTTTTAGCCACTGAGCCACCGTATCCCTTACACTGACTTATTTCTCATTCTGTTTACACGTCTTGCAAGTTGTCTGAACATCAGGTTGCAGATATGGAGGTGCTTTGCACCGCTGACCTATTTGGCTATATCTCTCTTTTGTACCCCTTTTTCTCATTCATCATATTGTATCTCTGTTGTTTTGCTTCTTCATCCTCTCTTTGCCTCGCTCACTTACAATCTTCCTCTCTTTCTCTTGTGAAAAACCTGGCCCTCCTCCAAATCATTCAATCAGTTATTATCTTGGGCTGAATTTTTGTATTCTTGTGGTTTCATAAATTATTCTCAATACTCCATGTGGCTGATTTGTGCAGTATTCATGTGAGTGACTTATTATTTGTCATTTCTGGTATAAGATTGTGGCCGGCAATATAGAACTGGTCTAATTAATAGTATGTACCAATCTCCTTTCTACCACTAATGGAAAAGTTGTAATCCTGGATTACACAACTAAATTTAGAATGAGGACAAAGCAGAAGTCTTCTTTACATCCTCTCTTTGTGAGGATTGTAAATTCAAGCCCTGTGTTTGATGAGGGGTGAATCGTGGTTTTTCCTTGGAGCATACTCTATGATTAAGCAAAATAAACCCGAGGTATATTCTAAGAAACACATTTTTATTGTAAAATAAATAACAAACAAACTTACTGGCTAATGTAATAACTACATTCTGGTAAAGTTCCTAGCCTACTCCTTGTGGCAGGCAAACAGAAAGAGAAAGGCAAAAAAGACATACTAGTAAGCTTACAGAGAAGATTCAGACTACCGTATGTCTTAGAATATAAGCACAGCTGGCAAAACAAAAAAAACATCGTGACACTCTTCTCCTCTCTACTTATTTATTAAAGCATTTATTAAATGATCTAGGTCAGTGGTTCTCAACATTTTCTTCACCGCAGACTCCCTCTTATGGCCATGGACCTTGGCCACAGACCACTAAGACTTAACTCAAGATTTAAATAACAACATTTCTTCAATCCTTTGTGGATTTCCTCTGATGACCTCATGGCCCCCCAGTGGTCCACATACCACAGGTTGACAACCACTAATCTAGAGCTATACAAGACATCCTTGGAGAGGCAAACCCTTACTTTGCCTGCATAGTTAAACAAATTATCCTGAACTGCACTGAAGGACAAGGTGCTCTCTTGAGGGACAACTGTTGGATCTAAATGAATTACTGTTATAAGTGGTTAGAGATGTTGGCTTGGATATGCGTTGGGTTGGATTCTGTCCTTGATGTGGGGCTAGCTTACACTTCCTTGCCCAAGGTTTCAACATTTAGTTCTGTAGCTTGTGGTGATGCACTGGATATTTTCCTTTTACTCAGAGGTGTTTCCTCTGGGAGGCGAGGCAGCCACTGGCTAAGCTTTTGTGTGTGTGTCTGTGTTTGTGTCTCTGTGTGTGTGAGTGCGCGGGCGCCTTTGAGTCAGTTTTTGACTCCTGGTGACTGGACAGGTTTTCTGCAATTTTCTTGTCAAAATTTTAGAAGTGATTTCCCCTTGTCTCCTTCTTGCAGAATGAGTGCATCCATCTGCTCATCACACATTCTTCCTCCTATCTAATTATGTGAGGATTTTAAAAAGTGTCCCTCTTCTCACCTTCCCCATTCTCATGCTAATGCTATAATTTTTCTAAGATGAGGAAATGAAATGCTTTCTCCATTTAAGAATCAGTCCAGACAAGCAGCTGTTTAGTGGGCTGTGGCAGGAGCCTGATCCTGCTGTTGGATGGGTATCAGGGCCTGTAATTAAGCTTCAAAAACAGTGTGCAGAAGACTCTAGATGGCCTGCAAATTGCTCATAAGTGGATTCTCTGTCTCTGGAGTAATAGCAATAGCACTTATATACTGCTTCATAGTGTTTTACAGCACTCTAAGCCGTTTACAGAGTCAGCTTATTGCCTCCAATAGTCTGGGTCTTCATTTTACCGACCTCGGAAGGATGGAAGGCTGAGTCAACCTTGAGCCGGTCAAGATTGAACTCCAGGGTGTGGGCAGTGAGTTAGCTTGCAATACTGCATTCTAACCACCGTACATAGCTTCATTTGCAACACAAATTTTGGAATAAAAATGGGGGAGCAGGTGAGATTCCACCCCCTCCCAATTGCTTGAAAAGATCTTTAGAGGGAAAGGATTCACAAATGGACTTTTGTATTTGTAATCTCCAAAACCAGTTTGGTAAAAAACAACAAAAAACAACTGCTGGTCTAGAAACTGGGAGATTACAAGTTCTAGTCCTTCCTTAGGCACTAAAGGCAGTTGGGTGACTTTGGGCCAGTCATTCTCAGCCCTGTATTAAATTATTGTTTTAAAAGAAACACTTTAGGAACATAGGTCGGCTTTTCATCCAACTTTCCATCCAACCTAACAAAGAAGTGCTCCTGTCCCATTTAATTTTACATAAGGGTCTTACAACACAGGAAAGCTTTCCTGGAAGGAAGAGATAGACCAAAAGGAAAAGAAATAGCTGTCACTGGCGTTCAAAGGCAATAGCAATATGCCTATTTTTGATGGGAAAGTTGGAGTTTGAAAAGACAGCGTAACTACTCTTTGAGCCCCTTTCTTCTTTACTTTGACAGCTTTTCATAAAGATGGGAAGGTTGACATAACCTCCAGAGGGAACACCATTCCAGAAAGGGGAAGCCATCACAGAAGAATCCCACTTCCAAATCCAAATTTCCTGAAGAGCTATCAATCTTCTGCGATGGAATGGGAATACTGAATGAGTTATTCTGACTGGAGAAAGCATGCCCGCAAGTTCCCTGGGATTAAGTTACTTTAAAGATAGACAGAAAACTTCGAATGACATCCAGAAATCGAAGGGAATCCAATGCTTTAGGTGTCACATAGCTGTAATGGCTATTACCTAACAATAAGAGTGGGTGAGGGTAGAACTGTATGCTGTACCAATTGCAGTTTATGAGTACTTTGCAAAGGAAGCTTCAGATAGAACCCGTTGGAAGAGAACAGCCTAATGTGGATGAAGATACCTCTTTATACAATCTAGTTGATTACTGATATCAGCTTAATATCAGCCAGGACTACACAATTAATTTAATTGCAATATTGGCAACAATTTTGCCTTGTCTCCAATTAGAGGCAGATTTGAATAACAGCCAGATGTTAAAATTTCAAAAAAATGGCAAAGATCTATTGTTCGTTTGTTTGATCCCTGAAGAGTTACTCATTGGTTAATCATCACACTACCCCCAAAAAAGATAATGTTACCATCTAGCACTTTTTTGCCTTTTGGTACTGTTCATGGGGTTTTCTGACTGCTCTTTAGAAGGCCAGATCCTGAAGATGAAGTTCAAATACTTGAGAAGGAAGGACTCACTGGAGAAGAGCCTAATGCTGGGAAAGATTGAGGGCAGAAGAAGAAGGGGACGACAGAGAATGAGGTAGCTGGATGGAATCACTGAAGCAGTTGGCGTGAGCTTAAATGGACTCCAGAGGATGGTAGAGGACAGGAAGACCTGGAGGAACGTTGTCCATGGGGTTGCAATGGGTCCGACATGACTGTCCGACTAACAACAACAACAAGCACTTTTTTCTGCATTCCATCTTAAAATCAAGTCTAAAATTCCATTGTCTTTGGCCTCAGTGGTTTGTATCTCTGCCTCATTAATTTGTTTGCTCTGTTATCTGATGAATGTGAAGAATTTGAATGCTTGCAAACTGTTTTATGCCACTCTTTAGATTCTCTTCTTATGTCATTTTATGCTCATGTTGCTCTATTATATTGTTTGCGCTGCAGTTCTTTGAATGACATTAAAATTCAATGCGTAGCTACCACTGATAAGATCTCTGTTTAAATGTAAATAAAACACAGTCTCTATCTTTGAAGCAAGATAACATGCACCAGGGAAATGGAAAAAAGGTTATGGAAAAAATAGGTATCGAAGAGGTCAGACTATATTGTTAACAAAGCACCTTTACACAAAGCTGGAGAAGGAGAAATTGTCTGTTGGAAGAAATATCTAGTTCCAGTTCCGAGCTAGAAGAAAGGTACTAGAGACAAAATGGAGGCTGGAGGCTGATTGGAAAGAGGGCCAATTTATTGATGAAGCAGAACCACCAAGCAGGTGTGATTCTGGGCAGCTGACTAGATGGAGGTGAGAGTGGAGGGTATTTATGCCTTCTCTTGGGCTTTGCACTTGAACTTCCTGTTCCTGTACAAGAACCTGTATTCTATTGGCTGTTATCAGACTCCCATGGGGCCATGTGCAAATCCTAGGTGTTTGAGCTAAGTTTGGTTGACGTTTGCTGGGGTGGTGCCACTGAAATGATGCAATGAAGGGGCTTGTGTTCTGATAGGGTGTTGGGCAATTCCTATTGTGGCTGAGGGCTAATCCCACCTTTGTTGGATCTTGCTGCAGGGAATTTGCTTATGAATAGAGCTAGCTATCTCTTAAGTGTTGATATCTGCTGAGGGCTATTAAGAAAGGTGGGGCTATTAAGAGTAAGTCCCCTTCCTGCCTCTACAAAAACATGTTTCCAGGGAAATATAATATTCTTTTAAAAAAATATTTCTCAAAATATTTCATTCTTCTAGGAGAGGAATGGGTGCTAACTTTCTACACGTCTAATAGTGTATTGCCTGAGATAGTACAGCAGTGCTTGCCAACTTTTATGAGAACTGAAATCCATCACATCTGGTTGGTACCCTGTTGAAAGAGGTAATTCTTGACTTACAACAATTCATTTAGTGACCATTCAAAATTATAACACTGTAAAAAGTGACATGACCATTTCTCACACTTATGATCATAGTAGCATCCCCCTGGTCATGTGAATAAAATTTGGATGCTTGGGAACTGGCTCATATTTATGACAATTACAATGTCCCCGGGTCATTTGATCGCCTTTTGTGACCTTCTGACAAGCAAAGTCAATGGGGCAATCAGATTCACTTAACCACATGATTTATAATTTAACAACTGCAGTGATTTTCTTAACTAAAGTGGCAAGAAAGTTTGTAAAATGGAGCAAAACCCAGTTAACAAGTTTCTCGCTTAACAACATAAATTTTGGGCTCAGTTGTGGTCGTACATTGAAGACTACCTGTATAGAATTCATATAATCCCAATGATTTGGTGAAGAAACACTCAAGAATAGGAGCAGACTTTGAAAGCATGCTGGTCTTTCTCTTGTTGGATGGTGGATTGCTGGATGGTGATGGCTCACAGTGAAAGAACAAGCATAACAAAAACTACATTGTGAAGGCTAGGATACTTTGCAGTGCTACCTTTCTCCTGTCATTTTAGTTTGCTTCATCAGTTCAATGAATTAGGACATGCTCTGGATCGCTTCTAACATATGTCACCTTGTTGCACTTGGATTTGCATCTTCTCAGTGGCAGTACAGTATCTGTTCTATGGAATAGCATGCTCCTGAAGATTCAGAGGCATCAAAGACATGGCTGTTTCCATAGAGGTCGGCAGGCAAGATGAGCTCTGTTGTTGAGGAAGTATGGTGTGGTGTTTTTTTTGCTTTGGATTTTTTTTTCTTCTGAGTGGGGTTATTGCTTATCCATGGAGACCAGAGGGTTATTTGTTGTGGTTTTGTGTTGCTAACCCTTGCACACCACCCTGAATCACCCGAGATGACAGGCCACTAAAGCTAAAGGTAAAAGTTCCCCTTGCACATATGTGCTAGTCGTTCCCGACTCTAAGGGGCGGTGCTCATGTCCGTTTCAAAGCCGAAGAGCCAGTGCTGTCTGAAGACGTCTCCGTGGTCATGTGGCTGGCATGACTAAACGCTGAAGGTGCATGAAATGCTATTACCTTCCCACCAAAGGTGGTTCCTAATTTTCTACTTGCTTTTTACATGCTTTCAACTGCTAGGTTGGCAGAAGTTGGGACAAGTAATGGGAGCTAACTTAAGGTGACCAGATGTCCCGATTTCAGCGTGACAAGCACGCTTTTGTAACAATTTGTCCCGTTTCCCACAACGTTTTTAAAAAGTCCCGATTTTCTGGCTTCATGTTGAAAGCCCAGTGGATTTGCTTAA